GTCAGTGGGACTACCGCTGTGGGCCTTTTAACAGCTGAAAGAAATACTAACCGTCTTGCTTCTGCCATTAGGAGTTATTTAGATCAGTGAGTCTAGCAATACGACAACTTTAATCTGATTTGACCCTCACTGTAACTTGTAGAGTTAGAAAGTTATTTCTACATTAAGTTGATTCCATCAAAGCTGTTAAGAGGTCCTAATATTAATACAGAAGAACCCAGTTTAACTTGTTTTTTTTTAAGGGTTTAGATGCACCAACTTCTTTAAATGGAAAATGAAACCTGTGTATGAAACACGTTGCAGCGGCGTTTGAGTGATCAAAGTGGAAAAATACACTCTGAACATTGCTGTTCATCTTCCTCTCTTTTACATGTGATTATTTGCACCATATTAGCATTTTCTTGTTGTTGGCTAATCTAAAGAAACTTGAGTTTTTAAATATTAGGTTATTGCCTTGTTAGTATTTACTATGCCAATGCAAATGCTTGTTTTCCCTAAATTACACAAACCTTGCTTTTTTAAATATCATTCCACTCAATAAAATGGAATGAACTCCGAACCTGTGGTGACAATGAATTTATGAGTGGGTTACCATCAGGGTTTCTTGAAACGAAATGTCATTAGTCGATGCAGCCTGACAGATCACACCCCTGACAGCAGCTTTGCTCAGCAGCACCTCTCCTGACCTCTGCTTCATCACAGAGATCGATGGATGCCTGCATTTGAAGTTGAAAGAAGTCTGCATGTTTCCTGTGTATCAGTCAGCCATGTTGGCAGACTCAATTGAAACCATGGCCTCTAAAAGGCAGCCCCGACCACAAATATGCCAACTCATTCGTGAGCTTTTCCTCCTCTTTGATTGTCTCATGGTGCCTCTGGCTCCACATGTTGTCATCGTAGCTAATGTGTATGTCTCAGAGCAAAGCGTATGGCTGAGGACTGCTGTTTTCCACTACCTGTCTGAAGAAACATTGTTGTCATGAACTTACAGAGCTCATTCTGAGCGTCTGCCATTATGGGACAGACGTTGCTACACAGTAATTTAAGCAATTTAACGATTGTTGCGTTAGAGGATGTCACAGCAACTTGCCACAGAAATGCTCAGCCCAGTTTGGACTGAAACTGACTAGTGTCCGTGTCAAAGCAAAGGGATGTTAAAGGCCTGTCAGACAGCCTGACGCGGGGTGTTGTCGTCCACAGAGGAAGAGCCCTGGAATGGAGGGAAGCTGGGAGGTCGAAAGGGCCTTGGCAGACAATGGACAACCAACTAGCGTAGGGAGGCCAGAATTGGAAAACAAAAAGAAATCATTCCTGTATGTCACTGGTAGCTGGACAAACTTCCCGGCACTTTCTTCTCTTCACGTTGTTGCATTTCATCTTTAAACAAACCTTTTTTTCTTTTTTTTACTCTTCTGAATTCTGTTTTCCTCGGCAGAGTGCAACGTGTGCCTGTTGCGCTCTTCGTCATTGTTTGCAGTGATTTACAGCCATCTGATTCTTTGTAATTTCCTTCCTCTGGATCCCTCTCAGCAAATACATGGGGGGGAAAAAAGGCATGTGACACTGCGCGAGAGAAGTTTCTAGCTCACAGTGTTTCTTAATTTCTCTCATAAGGCTTTCCCAGCTTGCAGCAGACAAGGTCTGTGGCTTTCAGTGGAAGCTGCAACTCCCACACTGTACATTTTCACCAAGTTCAAGTGACTGGCTGTGTTTAGGATTCCAGTCAGGTGCAGAAAGTAAGGCAGAATGGGGGTGAGGGGGTATTTTTAGTCGTCTGACTGGTGTCTGCCTTTGCTTTCAAATGGTGCTTTCCAGCCATTACTTACTTACAAAAACCCCAAATGGTAGTCATATAAATTTTGTGCGACATGCTGTGTGAGAAATAACATTTTTGTGTTTTGGAAAAATTGTCTAATCAAGTTTTCAATTGAATTGGACTTCGGGAAGATGCAGTTTTGCATATCTAGCTATTGCATACTGTTCCTTACTAGTTAATCCCATAGTGAACTTTTTTTCCACATGCATGGGCTGGTAAAATGCAGGTAGAAATATTGTTTCACTGTATAAAGATAAAATTTTAAACCTAAGTAATAGATAAACTTTTTACTTATTGTTTTGTTATAAATAACATTCAATTATTCCTAATTTAGACATAAGAATACAAGAGCACATACCTAAATTTGGAAGCAGTTTTCTAGTGCCTATTGTGTTGAAGTCATTTATCTGCTCAAGTTGCACACGTGCAGGTAGGGGCTTCATTTTCACACCACTCATACTTTACCAACTATAGCTGAAAACCTTGTTAATGACGGATCAACCTGAAATATAATAAAATAGCTCACTGTCAGGTACCCATGGCAAAAGTCTGACCAGCATTGGTAATTCTGCCTCACTGTAACTTCATGTTGCTGGTGAAAAGTGGTCATAGGATTCCCATCCAAGGAAAATATAAATCCTACGACTCGCTCTATTGTATTTTATTAGGTTTTTGGTATAGACCGACAAAAGAAGTATATTACAATCAAATTGGTGGAAAATTCTTTGTCCCCTTTTTTCCTCAAAAAGGAAAAACAATCTAAAATGTTGTGTAGATTGCTCTTCAGCCACATTTAACTCTGAAATCAAGTGGACTACAACCACTTGCCGTTAGAAGTCCCCTCATGAAGATAAATTTCCTTTTGTTTCCAGACCCCTTTATTCTTAAAACACCAAATAAAATCCCTTGCAGCAAATTGCCTTAACTCTGTGCTATTGAAAGATGAAGTGTGATTCCATCCAGATTTACTACCCTGGGATTACCCTTTGCACATTTCCAGCTATTGTACCCAAATGTCCAGAACTCAGCTGAACACTTAAGCCTGGCTAAATATCGAGGTAGTGCTTGCCAGAATATTTTAGCACCACCTGAGCTGAGTGCAGCTGCTCCCTTCTCTGCAAAAAAAAAATATTTCCATTTGTGCATTTGACGTAAAAAGATACCATCTCTTCTAAACTGCAGAAGGAAGCTCTCCCACACTGCCAAAAAGCGAATGATTATGAATGACTCTAGAACCGTATAAGTGATGTGCTTTAGAAGCATTGCTCTTAGTGGCTGCCCTGTATCGGTTAGCTGTGCAGGCAAATCCAGACTTCCCATAAATTTAGCTCGGTGCAGATTGATCATCTAGGCAAATAAAGTGGCTCTGCATTTTCAATGCAAAGCATTCAGGGACCATGGTAGACAAAAGAAGCAAATGGACACTGATGACAAGGACACTGATAAGGCATTTGGCAGATAAAATATAAGCTCTCTGACATTTGCTAAAAGATGTGGCTATCAGCAGATAAAGCCCATCAACTTTTATATTTCAACCATAAATGTTTTAGCTACGTAATCACTTTTTAACTTGTGCTCATTAGGAATTTAGTGTTTTTATGACTGAAACATCTGTCCATGGATATCTTTTTGTCTTTGGTTTGAGTTTGTACAATGATACCTAACTGGCATGTGTGCAGCACGTAACCTCCGCCTCCAGACATCAGCTCTTAACACCCTGTCTGCACTCTGTACTTATGCACAGTGGTGGGACTAATAACAGGCTCTACCTGGAAGCAATTTGACGTTGGACTCTCAGCCCTACCGTGAAATTTGTCTGCTCTCCTTGAGTCAGAGGCACCTTTCAGTAACAATCCATCTGTGGTAAAGGGTACTGGCGTTTCTCCTCACTGGGATAACAGACGGCGCACGCTTTCCTCCCAGAGCAGTCCCGGAGACTCCACCCTGCCTCACTGTATAATTTCACCCAGCTGTCTTTTGATTATGCAAGCTATAGCCTTGCAAACGTAATCAGAAACGGGCCTAAATCTGTCACCGTCTCTGATATCAGTGTCTGCTTGGGCTGAGCTCGAGTCATTGTAACATCATAAGATGGCCACAGCCCTGCAACAATAGGACTATAGAGTTTGAGAAAAGTAGCAGAGTTTGAAATAAGGATGCAGATCATGCCAAGGTGATTAGTGCAATGTGATTAGCAGCAGTGAGGCTGTAGCTAACAGAAGTTCTTTGGTCTCAAAGTATTCAAGGCAAGTTGACTAGGGGGCCTGGTTTTGTGTTAGATGACAGTAAATGAAAGAAAAAAAAGTCTGTTTTAGGATTTTTAGGCCCCTGCCTTAACAAGTTTTGATCCCACTTAGTTTTTATTCCGGTATGTCACTTTTTTTGGTTTTTGTGTCCTCAGTACCTTGGCCTAATCCTAAGGATGGATTTGGATTTGGAGCATGGGGGTGTTTGTGGTCTCGTGGAAAAGGACGGATATTTAGAAAGCCCGTAATGCTAATTATTGCTTTATTTTCTTTGTGCTTTTCTGTTTCTGTTTAGACTTGTCCCATACTAGTAGAAAGTGGGGAAACACTGTTTCAGAAGACTTTTTTTAAATGCAGTTTCAGCAAAAAAAAAAAAAAAAAACAACAACAAAAAACCTGATGTTTTGGGGAAAAAAAAAGGCATATTCAGGTAAATAAAAAAAAAATAGAAATGCTCTTTTGAAAATGAAATTTTTTTCCCCTAAATATGCCTTCAATTGGCAACCAAAAAGCATTTTTTTTTACTCTCTGAGGGGATTTTCCCTCCTGCTGTACTTAGATTTGGTGCCAATTAATGTTAAAGTGGGTAAAATGACAATGTGAGCATGCAATATGTATTTTGTCTTAAAAATAAATAATGTCAATAATACATCAATATTTAACAAAAACCAGCTTAGTTAACCACTAATTGATACTCTGAGCAGAGGTCAATGCTTTCAGTAGGATCCTTGGTATCTGTAGGATGCGCACCAACCTGCATCTTGATTGCATGAAAGGAGCAAGCTCATTAGAGATCATCAGTGGATTGTCTAAAATGGTTTAATTAAATACTTTGCCTTTTCCTAAATTTTGAATTCATTCTATATTCAGAAAGATTTCATTTTAAAATGTGAAAAAGAAAATCAATACCTCTTTCTAAAAATTGTTTTTGCTCCTAGGAATTGGGAAGGTGAAGAACAGGAAGGGAGGGATGAGAGACACCGCTTCAAATGCCGACACAGATCTGAGCACAGATAACGGCGAGAGGCTGTACGACCTCAACGTGCCCGCCTTTGTCAAGTTCCACTATTCGGCGGAGCGTGACGACGAGCTGTCCCTCGTGAAAGGCACACGGGTGGTGGTGATGGAGAAGTGCAGTGACGGCTGGTGGCGGGGCAGCTACAACGGACGCTCTGGCTGGTTCCCTTCTAACTACGTGACAGAGGATGTAGATGGGACGGCGGGAGGAGGTGGCATGGGCGGATTTGGAGATCCGGCTGCCGGATCGCTGACTGATCAGGTGGTCACTGTGGTGAGCAGCAGCGCAAACGGAAACAGGGTGCTGCACACAGTTCAAGCTCTCTACCCGTTCGAATCTGGCAACGACGAGGAACTGAACTTTGAACGGGGCGAGGTAATGGAAGTCATAGAGAAGCCAGAGAACGACCCGGAGTGGTGGAAGTGCCGCAAAGCAGACGGACAGTTGGGCCTGGTGCCTAAGAACTACGTCACTGTGCTTGACTCCAGCTCCCATAAGTCCACAGGGGGGCCGGCCGGGCCTCCAACACCTGACTGTGACTACATCTCTCCCTCAGGCAGCGGGCGCTTCGCTGGGAAGGAGTGGTACTATGGAAAGGTGACGCGCCATCAGGCTGAGGTGGCTCTAAATCAGAGAGGCACGGAGGGAGACTTCCTCATCCGAGACAGCGAGTCATCGGTTAGTCACTGAGACCTGTCCCTTAAAGGACTAGATCAGAGTATCTGAAATTAGCTTCTGTTAAACGGTTATAAGCTTCTACTATCTTCCCTGTTGTAGATGCATCAGGGAAAACCCTACATTTTCCTCAGTAAGGACATTGAATGGCTTAGTCTGGTAGGAATTTAATTTACCAATTTAATTGGTACCAGTTCAATATGTCCACGTCTATTTATTTAATGTTTAAAAATGTTTAGATTGTTAAAGACTTTTTTTAGTTCTTCAGTGATTTCTTTTGGGGTCATAATGGGAGAGAAATAAATGTAACATCTAATCAGCTGTGACCAAGTGCTCCCCATAAGATTTTTGACAGAGGAGTCAGAATATTGATTAGATTATCAGGAGCCGAGGAGCATACAGACAGCATGTTCATGAAATTCACGCGCACATCTGGCCTTAGGCAGATGTACAAGACTGCTGAAGTAAAGGCATGTTCCTTAAATTTGGTGTTAGATATACTGAAATACAATGAGTCAACGAACTATTGGAAGAGACGGTGTAGAAAGATGATGCCAAAATGGATGTCACTCCCCATCATACATCTATCAACATTTTGAGATGCACACATAATGCCATTGGGCTCTTTCAGCACCACACCATGTGGTTCTGTGAGACCTTTATCTCAGTGAAGGTAGTTTTTGGAGAACTTTATCAGGATCATTCATGAGAATCTGAGGAAAAAAGTTAGACTGGATTTGGAGTTTTGAAGCTGCACTTTTGAGTCAACTGTGTAAAATATTTTGGAACAACTATAGATAAACTATAGAAGAGAGCCTAGGACAGTTTTAGGACACCTGAATGCTACATCTGGTCGTTTTTTGTAGTGGATTCAAGATGACAAGAGGCGTCTTGAATGCAGCTTTTCTGCTAATTGATAAACTTCATAACACCTTTTGTGGGGGTTATTTATGTGATTTACTTGTATTTTCATCGACATTGGGTGGAAAGTTTATATCGACAGCCGTGTTTAACAGGTTTACAAATAAGAGCTGATTTAATGCCTTTTTTCTGCTGTAACTTTCTTTCCTTTAGTATAAATATAAATTAGTTGTTTCTAGAGGGCTGTAGCTAAAGGATAGTCTCTAAAGTGATAAGACCAGAGAAGATTTTTTTTTAAAGGATCATGTTTGTATTGGGTGTTATTTACAAAGAGCAGTTCAAGTAAATGTATCTATAGTTGTAAATAATCCTAATCTTTAACCTAATTTCACTTCTATGATTGTTATTATGAGCAGAAATGCTTTTTCTGTTCTTTTCTCACTATTACACAGGAAAACCTGGAGGGTTGCACTAATAAGTGTAAAACCATCCTATGCACACATGGTGATGTTTTACAGGGCCATAAAACAACATACACATAAACCCCCAATGACTTTTTAAATTAGTGATGTTATGGTGCAAGTCTGCTTTGGTTTCTTGATCCAGCCAATGATTTAAACCTTCAGGACCAATTAGTCTGGATTTCTGCTAAATAAAGACACAGGGAGTAATTAGGACCTAGGAAGTTGGTTACTAATTTCCTTTTAACAGACATAAAAAAAAAAAAGTGTGATTATCCCTTCAAAATCTGTCTTTCCTTCTATCTGTGGTCACTAATCAGAATTTTCTCATACCTTTTCAGCCGAACGACTTCTCCATTTCCCTGAAGGCGCAGAGCAAGAACAAGCATTTCAAAGTTCAGCTCAAGGAGAACCTTTACTGCATCGGACAGCGCAAATTCAACTCTATGGAGGAGCTTGTTGAACACTACAAAAAGGCTCCCATCTTTACCAGTGAGCAGGGAGACAAACTGTACCTGATCAAAGCCCTGGCTGCCTCCTGATCCCACCCTTAAACACAAACAGATTAATGGCTTCCATATAGAAAAAAAACTGATCCTTACACCAGAACACACACTAACATTTCAGCTCCAAGCCTGAAGACTTAACACATCATCAGGACTTAAATGGCCGCTTTGTGAGCATTCCAAGAGGAGATATGGAAAAAGCATGGGAGAGACATTGAGAGGGCTGGAGAAAAGAGTTGCATATCCTCAGAGTTGACTACAGACCTCCTGGTCGCATTTTTAAATTATCCACATGTTAGCTCATAGGCAACGGCATGTATTTTCACCCTTGGTATCTATTAGGGTTTCATTTAGATTTCTTTATGTTGATAATATATAATCTTTGCTTTAACAGTTTCCTTTAAAGATGTGATTTTCATTTTTTTGTACTTATTTTTTTTTTTTTTTTTAAACACACGACATATTGAGATATTTTAAGATGAAAACGTACTCAGAGCCATGCCTAAAGGTCTTACAAGTTGACTCCCTTTGTTTGTCTTACAGCCTTTTTTTTCGTGAATGTGGACAATAATCCACAACTTCAGCTAATAAGTGATAAAAAAATCAAGTGACCAAACTATATTTATTTAGATTTGTTAGGATCCGTGTTGTTAAGTTGAAATAGTAAAATGCATCTTTCTTTTTTCTCTATTCCTTGTGCAAATAGGCTTTTTATTTTCAGTACAATAGAAGTGCTTGTGCCACATTTTGCTGTATCCACATCATGTGAATGTTACAAAGAGGAGGAAAATTACACGGCCAATCTCATGATGCTAACAAGTGGGATAGGGTAAAACCAAACATCCTTTTATCTTCCATTAAATTGCCTTTTCCTGACTGATAACAGGTTGGGGTGTTCTGAGCAAGGATCCTTTCTGATTTTATTTTATTTTTTATTTTCAAAGGACTAAACATGTGTGACGGGGAAAAAAAAAAAGAAATGTGTGCAGGTTTTCAATCCAGTTGCTGATGAAGGAATTCTACGATTATCCCCATTTATGGACCGAAGTCCACGTCCCTAAGCTATTATCTGATTTTCCTGTCTCTAAACTAAAAGAAAGTCCATCAGAGTACATGTTGGTGTTTTCTGTAGAATGAAAACGATGGCTGCTCTTATTTTGATGACTTTAAATATCAAAAGAGATTTTTCTTTTTAAGCATTTGATCTCCTGATCAAACAAAAACTGGCTGCTTTAGTTTGGTTGATTGCTGCCTCTACTTAACCAGAAATCCAGTGACCATCATCTGTTTTTTCATAAATTAATCTTTGTCAAAAAAAGTGCATTAAAGCACTTTCTTTTGTTCTGTGGTCTTATAAAGTGAAAATCTTGGTTGAAAAGTATTTAACAAATATTGAGGAATCCTACTTCCCTTGGATAAAAATCGACAGAATTGATCTCTTGGTATTGGGAGTATCTTTGCATCTAATGATTAACTTTGGAGCAGTGGAGACTTTTTTTTTTTTTTTTGAAGTCAGGAAAATCTATAAATCCAGTTCTGGAGAAAAGAGGAAGTGGAGGACCAGTCCTGGCTGCCAAGAGCATGATGTCACTGCTCCTGAATAAGTGATTACTTGAGCTAATAGAGGGTCACCAGGGGGTCAAGTGTACGTACTTGCAAAACATGTACATCATACAAGAAAACGAGCCATTCCTTAAGGAGGAGGTAAAAACCCACCTTTTTTTACACAGCGGGGATCTGGAGGGAATGGGTTTTTCACTAGAAGGGGAGAAGGTAGAGTTGAATGTTGAAGGGAAGCAATCTAAGCTACAGCAGGAGTGCTGGCAGGAAGCCACTCCAGCCGGGGGATGTTGACGACGACGACGATGATGATGACCATCGCAAAGCTTGCGATGATGAGTTCTGCAGCTGGTTGGACCCGGGCACAAAAAGAAGACGAGGGAAGGAAAAATAGATTAAGGAATTGGAGAGCATGTTTTTACTGTTCCACCACACCCAATTATTCATGTGCAACTGGGCGCGTAGAAGGCTTTTTGATGAGAGACTCTAAAGTGATTGACAGAAGTAGACATGCTCCAATTGGAATCGCTGAATCCTGGTTTCTACAAGCTTTGACCTAATATCAATTTTACCCCAAAAAAATAGTTTTCTTTACAAACCCTGTTAAAGAAATATTTAAAAAATAATGAACAGAGGCAACTATCACACTGTTTGTGAGACTTGGTGGTTGATCATGACCATGATTGGGGAACATATTACCTTCAGCATTATTTATCATTTAGCACAGCTAGGAATGATTCATTTAGTCTCCATGTAATGTAAGATCCTTACTTTTAGATCTTTAAAAGCCTGCCAGAATTTTCCTTTCTGTAATGTTCCAAAAATATTTTTTCGTTTTCTTTTTACTGAGAATAATTAATGTCCAACTTGGCTGTGTTCTATCCACTCATGTTGTCTGCTTAAAGTCCTGTGTTCTCACCGTATGTAACACTCAACAAGCCACAGAAGTGTCTCAACGTGTCACATAGAGACAGTTTACTTTCAAGTAGTATCTCTGATACTAAATATGGCTTCTTTGGAGTTATTTACTCTGTAATAACGTCCTAATCAAAGAAAGAAATCAGTGTGGAGTGACAGTACTTTGTAATGGTGTAATGAAATCTGGATTTAAGACTGGCCTAATCTCAATTTACCATTGAATGTTCATGTTATTTATAAATAGATAAACCTAATGAAAGCAGGATCACTGAAATTTGTAGTGATATATCTGGTTTCTAATAGTATTGATCAATTAAATTGCATTCCCATTTTAAACTACATTGTTTTCAGGAGTAATACCCAATCTGCAACCATCTTCTCCATTAATCTGATATGAAAACCTTATTTTTAAGTCAGTCCAGTTTCTATAGGATCTCAAATGTGTGTTGTTTTTTTTTTTGCATAGCATTAAAGTGAATCCACCAACACTTTCTGCCCCACATTTAAGGATTTAGGAGAATCTTATGTGCCTTCACAGCTTTCTGGCAAACCAAAGCTTTAGCAGCCCCACCCGCCCTCCATAACCGTACTTTCCACTTCCCTAATCACTGCTATCTGCTTAAAGCTTTGCATGTGCATCGATGCAGCGATTAGAAGATGTGTCAGGAACACATCCTCCTATGGAAGAGCATTTCCTCCTTCAGCCTGCTCGATCATGCATCAAATGCCCTTTTAGTTGATCCGTTTCTTTTCAAGTGACCTTACCATGGCTGACTTCATCGAGTATTAGATGAACAGTGATCGCCTACATGTAAATGATAAAAACACATGGATGTTGGGTGATTAACACAACTCCAGGTATGATGTAATCATGACCTCGATCTGTATGAGCACCTCAAGTAACTGTATCATGAAACATTGATGGTTTCTTAATATATAACTTTTACGTCTTTATGACTATTGTAATTTCACAGCTTTTTGCCTCTTTTTTTGCAGTTTAGCCACATAAATATGAAAGAAATCCTAAATATTTAAATATTTACCTTGGTATCAAACAACTACAGAATCTCCCAGCTTAGATATTGTTACTGGGAGCTGTTTGATGGCTCAATAGAATGAGGCTGCATGAGCAGAGCCTTAAAGCTGTGCAAGAGAATCTGCTTTAACGACACATTAAAGTCAGTTGTGATGGATATTATCAAGACCGCTCCTCCTGATGGGGCTACTGCTCACCCTGAACCTGAGAATTGTAAAACTTTCACACAGATGTCTTGATAATATTGAAACAAGTGGCCCGTTTTTGTTTTTTGGTGCTTTTGTGCTGCTTACATTTCTGTGGTGATTAAAGCCTTTTTTTTTTTTCTGTAAGTCAAGAGTGAAGAACCAGATTCATACTGTGGAATGATTAAAAAGGCAGTGCTGTGAAAAAAAAAGCAATGTTATGCTCTTAATACTGTTTTTATGGAGGGGAGACTGTCTTCAGGTGTAATAATTTAGAAGATTTAGAGTGTCAAAGATGTAATAAACTTATAAAAATGAACATATCTGCTTGTCTTTTGATATTTTTGAGAATACATATGAAAAAGTGGTTCTGGTGCACGAGACAAATCAGAATATTAAAAGTGAATTGTCACTCGGATTCACTTCAGACACGTGTGTTTCTGTCTATTCATGTTGATTATGGTTTATTTAATTCTCTTAAAAATATTAAATGATGCAAAACAAAAACTGATATTTTTTTAACAAAAATGTTCTACCAGAGGAAAAAAAGACTTGGAATAATTGAAAAGTAATCCATTCATTTTTCCTCTTTAAATGGTGTCCTTAAATACCTCTCATGATTGGGTGTATTCCTGTCGCCAATCTGCCTATTTTTTTTTCCCTGACTCAGCTTTCCATTGTTATGCTTGGATAGAGAACTCTAAGCACACATCTTTTCTTTTTTCTTCAGTGGGGATTCCCTATGAAAGAGGTCAGCAGTATTCCTCATTATTCTCAAGACCTTGGATCTGTTTAATAAAGCATGTTTAATGAATATTAAGTTTTCAAAAAAATGAAAAGAGGGAAATTCCAAGCAGTCCCCTTCACCCAGGTTCCTGCACCCACGGTAACATTCCCACAGAAACAACCTGCCAAAGAGAACCTGTTCAACAACAAATTCTGTACAATAAACCAACCTCTCCCTCAAGAAAACCATCAAGACAATCACGTAGTCAGATTGATTTTCTCAGGAGTGTGCAAACAAAAAATAATGCAAAAAAAAAAAAATAAATAACAAACAAAATAAATCAGAAACAAGACCCATCAAAAACAACAAGTGTTGAAAATAAAAAATGACAGACATACAATATAACATCCAGTCTAGTTAGAAGCGTATATAGATAGATATATATATATATATATATATATATAAATAAATGGAGCGTGTAACAAAAGTAATTTCCCTCTGGGATTATTAAAGTATTTCTGATTCTGTAAAGAATGATCAGCATTACTCAAGAGACTTAAATATTTAAACTTATTTGACAGGATGTGAGATTAATTAATTAATTCCGCTGGGCAAAAATTTAATTGCTATAGGATTAAGATTAAGTCGGTGATAACCTACTGAGCCTACTGGTAGGTAGGAGGTGCAGCTTGAAGGCATTATATGGGACTGATAAGCGCTAATAATGGCAATTTATTGGGATGATAACATCCAAAGTGGCTGCAAAGAGCCACTTAGTGTTTACTTTGTGATAGAAGACGGAATCAAATTAAGGAGGAACCCATGGATGATGAACAGGTCCCATCTGTTAGAACAATGTTTTTGAGACTTCATCCTACCCTGCTGCCAGATACTTTCAACTGTTTATGCATTTAGCAGACGCTTTTATCCTACAGTAAGCAACTTACAAAGTAGACCACCAATATGACAAACTAACCAGAATGCATTAATCCACGGCCATTCACACAGTAAACTAGTTTTCCCCCATAATGTTATCGTGGTCACAACACTCTATAACAGCCTATTTGATATGCATTAGTTTGAATATGTATTTCTGATATCTGAAAAAATGTTTTTCCTTATCAAAATGTCCATTTCAAACAAATTCATTTTTTTCCACAGCTAATATACACATTTTGGATGTCTAGAAATTAATTTCCTATCTCCATTTTCCTATTGTCACTGGTCATTATTTGTACTATGAAGAAATGTATTTCATAAATATTCAGTCGAGCCGATGAATGTCAAAATGGCCACTTATAATTTGTAAACATTATGTATATACAAATCGGCCACTTATGTATAAACATTACCATGTATATAAAACTTAATTCTATCAAGTATAATTTAGTTTTTTTACTATCTGAAATTCAGTTTCTGTGGCAAACATAATTTAGATAATCTGTTATTAAAGTTCTGACTAGGAATGTGATTTTAATCAGGAAGACTCCTAGTTAAGTGATTTACTGATGGCACAACAGAGAGAACGTTTTAATAAATGTCAAAACGGCCTGCCATACATAAACATACGCATTACTTCTTCCTCTCCTTTTCATGAAAATATTCCATTGTTTTGCAATAGATACTTTCTGTTGTAATGGTGACTCGTCAAATCGATGCTCCTGATAATGGTTTATCATACCTACTCAGAGTTCATTAAACTAACTCACAGCAGCTGTAGTGAAACCGAAAACTCCGTTTCTAATCTTAGGCTAGATCAGTTTAGAGTTGAGGATTTGAGTCTGAGTTTGTTAAACCTGCTTTGTAAAAAAACAGCCATTATCCAAACATCTTGAGGTAAATTACAATTTGAGAGCCAAGTTCTGGTATTTGATCATCTTTAAGTAATAATTCTTAAACCTAACTTAAAAAAAACTTGAACTAGATCACTGTGCTTAATAAATCTATCATGTTTGAGGTAACCTATTTTATATTTTCACATATTGATGTGTGTTATTCTAGCAGAAACAGCTGTGATGCATCTGTGCCACCTGGTGGCCGTTAATAGAACAACATCTGACTCAGAACAAGTTTAATCACAACTCCATAACTTTTGGTTTATTAAGAATCAGGCATGAAAAATTACACAAACTCTAGTATTCTAAAATAAATCACTCTGTTCATTTGCATAATTCAAATATATATATTATATAATTTTTAACAAACAAAGAAGGATCGTATAAAACCAAACAAAAGCATTTCCCCCTTCTCCAATGACCCTCGTTAAAACCTTCAGTTGGAAGCGGTATGCTGTTTTCATGGAGCATGTGAGACAAAGTGGGTTTGTGTGGTGGTTACATAACTCTGGGGCAAACATCGCGGCGGTGTCCAGAGGCCGGCCTCAGTTTTTTTCTGCTGCGCTCGGCAACAGAACAGCAGGAGCCTTTTCAGGCTCTTTTGTCTCCCTTCCATCAGGGCCCCCCAGATGATTCACATGAGGGAAAACATTGCAAAGTATAATGGTAAATAAAAGATATAAAGAAACAAGCTCCCAGTGTTTCAGATAATAACACAGTAAGCAATATAAGTGCTGTGTTAATAGCTATGGGCGTGCAGCAACACTGCTGATACATAACAAAAAGTGGTGGCTACTTATCAGAGAATCAATCTGGATACATATAGGCTTTGCTAGGCTTTTTAAAAAGTAAATTGCAGCCATTTACTTGCACTTTAACAAAACAGGCTTAACCAATGAATGATTTTAAGCAAAAAGCATCAGCTTCGATTTTAAAAGTAGAGCAAGTCAGATATGGCGCCTGGTAGGTGAGTCATCACCTGCATCCTGATCCACCAGTGCGGCTCCATAGGGCTGTATCGCGTGTACGGACGCTTTGATCTGATGGCATCCGTGATGTCATCCAGAACCGGGCTCATGTCTTTTACGCCGCTGTTGCAGTAGGACCGCATCAGCGCCATGTACTGCTCAAAGTGGATTTTCCCATAATCCTCCTTCACGTCGTCGGGGGCCTCGTTCCACAGCTTGTTGGCCGTGTTGGCCACAATGTCCCGGGTGAGGATGCCAGTGGCCACGATAAAGTTGCCTGGTTCGATGACTGAAACTTTAACTCCCCATGTCTTCATCTCGTAGCGCAGACAGTCGGAGAAAGCCTCTACGCCATATTTGGACACGCAGTAAGGGGATCGCAGCCGGTTGCCCATCCTACCATACATGCTGGCGATGTTCACGACTCGACCTGAAGGCAGAGAAAGAGACCATGTTTATATTTATCATGCTATCACCCAGTGCTTGAGGTAATAGGTCAGTTTATCATATTAATTTTTACACGGATTCTAGTAAAATATATACCAGATTGTCGAAAGCTCAAAAAGCAGATATTTTTCCAATCAGTGAATAAACCATACCACGGAATAGTTGGGGAAAAAACGGAAATTTAAACATGACTGCTTCTACTGAGAGAAAAGGATTCCAAATGAAAAACTTTCAGTAATGATGAAAATTTAAATTTAAGACACAAAATCAGAGATTTAAAGGTATAGTGGAGGATGTTCTTTTTTCTGGGTGGATCATCAAAATAAGTAAGCTTGTATGAGTGATGCAAAAAGCAACTTTTAAACAAAGTGTGCACGAGGAGAAATGGGCTCGTCCATGTCTCGCAACATGTTTGATAGGCGTTCCCTCTCGGGAGTGGGTACAGGGTTGAGCATGAGCATTATTTTTTTCTTTAAGTGTAGAGGGCGGATCTTTTCAAAAATTTGGGAAAATCCTCCATTAGTCATTTAAGGTTCTAACAGAGTACAATAACATACAAATGATGCAGAATTCTAGCACAGGTGGCTAAACCACTTACATGTACTTCTCAACTGTAGATGTATATAATCTGTAAATCTTTTATCTGCCATTATCTTTCATTATTTTACCTGTAATATAACCAGGGCTGCAACAACGAATCGATAAAACCGATTTTTAAAAGCGTTGGCAACGAATTTTGTCATCGATTAGTTGTGTCGGGCGATTAATGCGTCATCCGCGGCGGCCGTCATCACATCCACTTGACTGAAACGGGGGAAGAAAAAAAAATACTGCAGAGCGAGCCAGCGGCGCAGGTGCAGTGTTGCCAACTCGGCGACTTTTCAGACCCCTCCAGCGACTATTTTCCAAAAAAGCGACTAGCGACAAATCTGGCGACTTTTTACGGTGTCACTGGCGGCTTTTGGAGACTCTTACGTGAAAGCATGTATCGTTCCTA